GATGGTTGAAAATACTTGGAAGCTTCGGCAAGAGTATAATTTTCGCTTTTTATATTTTTTCTCGAGGTGTTCAACGTCTACGAGCACCCCTTTTGAATTAAGGTTCTTGTAAACTTCATGGCTGTTGTGCTTGGTCTGCTTACAGACGTTTTCACATCTGCACACAGTCTCCTCCTTTTCAATAATTTTCCATAATATCTAAAAAGATCTTCCAGAGCAAGAATAATTACCGAAATTTTATATTAAACAGTTCTTAAACATTTTGGACCCATTTTGAACCTGGCAACATGCAGATTCTTGAAAAGAAGTTCTTCCATGATGATATCATGCCAAATCGGAATAGACGCAAATGGTTTGAAGTACGTTTTTTACTGGACTATATATCTGACTACCGCCATCGGTCGCCTGTAGAGCATATAGTGCACAGCTGGTGGTTGGAGAATAAAACAAAACTGCGCAAAGTTCGTTGTTCGGTATATTGTTATACTCTTACGACTACTACAGTTTCTCGATGTAATTACATAAAGAGCTCCACAGCACACTTAGAACGTCTAGCCTGATGAACAGGTACCATAGTATAGTTGTATATACTGCTGTCCAGAAAATTCTGTCTACCACATAAAACCTGAAAAAATAGCAAATAAGAAAAGGTCATTCGGTTCAAGAGATCATCTGTCGTTAGGTATATTGGAAAAAAAAATTGAGTTACATATTACTTGAGTCATATAATATGATCACAGCTGATACACTATTTGCACGATAGATTCAACAGCTACACCAGGCATTTCAAATTCGACTCTCGCTATTGCGATGTCGGCAACGGTTGACTGTGAGCAGAGTTGTACTTAAGAATAGAATAGAATAGAAAAATTAATAATAATAATAATAATTTCTTTATTAATCCATCCACACTGCTAGGCGAAGTTTAGCCAGCTGGCTTCTCTACCACTTAACCTCACAGCGCAGGAACACATACAAAAAAGAGATATAACAATGAATAGCAATCGATTAACTAATATGTACAATAATTAAGGCTTAAATAGAGAAATCTTAAGATTATATACATCTATACTACATGGCCCGCTCGAACAAATAAAAAAACTATAAAATCAAAAAGAAGAAAAGAAATGTATCTGCTAGCTTGGCTAGCAGACCCCAGAAGATGGTTCTTAATGGCTCTCTTGGATGCAAGTATTCCAATTTTTTTGTAATTGTCGTTAAGACTATTATACACCTTGACAGCGTTGTAGGTGAAGCTACGATGGAAGATGTTGCTCCTATAACTAGGTATACTTTATCTGAAGTCACTTGAAACACTGTGAAATACTGGGTGCGTTTTATATATCTATATTTAACACGCTCTGTTGCTGCAAAAATCGCCAAATTTCGCAGCAAATATCCCCCGTATAAGATCAAAGGCAGTTTCACCGGTCCACGTGCAGTAAAGCACGCCTATGCGTGGACAAAGCCAATGAGAAAGCGTGTATTTCAGAGCTCCGAACAAGTGCAGGTGGCTACTGAAAATTGAAACAGTTTAGCCAGTGTAGTGTAGCGGTGAATAAACGTGTTTTCTTTAGTCTGTCCGTGTTTTTTCATAGATTTTATTAGTTTGTGTGTTTTTGACTTTTGAATACTTGTTGATTTAATTGTTGTGTTGACTGTTCTTGTGTGTCCTAAATATGGCTCTTTGGAGACCTTGGGAAAATGCTCCAAGTCACGAGGAGATGGTTGATGAACCTGTGCAGGCAGAATTATTTCATAAAGATTTAGAGGAACAGACCCAAAGAGTAATCCTAAATATGTATGATTGTCTGAAAAACTAAAATCCAGATTCCTCGCAAAATCAAATTTTAAACAGAATTTGTATCCTGACAAAAATCAGTCGGTCTACCATTTACCGGGTTATAAAAAGGGGAGATGTAGTCAACCATTCCTTCCACAGAAAGCGCATAGGGCAAAAATTAAAAAGAATAGACGTGGGTTTTCAGGAAGATATTCGTCGTATAATATACGGATTTTATAAAGAAAATTTGGTGCCCACGTTGGAAATGATACGGGATAAATTAAAAGATTATCCTGAAGATTTTTATAATAATTACAAATGCTTAGACTCACTGCACTGTATTGTAAAACTGTGTGGTTTTCAATACAAAAAATTAGATAAAAGAATGGTGATTATGGAGTCGTCTCGAATCGTTGAATTGTGCCAAGAATTTTTGCACAAAGTTAAAATCTATAATGAGCAGAAAGAAATCTGATTTACCTGGAAGAAACGTGGTATGATACCCATGATGTTGTGCAGTACGGCTGGGTTGACGACAGCAACAAGTGCATTTTAAATGCACCATGCAACCGTGGAAAACGAATCATTATTCTCCATGCTGGCAGTGAAAATGGATTTATACCTAATCCCTTGCTGTTATCTGCCAAAAATATCAAAGAATCATGTGCCGACTATCATGAGGCAATGACCTCCGACTTAATTGAAAAGTGGATAGAGCAGCAGTTAATACCAAACATTTCCCCAAATTCAGTGATTATTATGGACAATGCGCCATACCAATCCCGACAGAAAAACAAAATTCCGAATACAGGCACAAAAAAACAAGACATTATTGATTTTAGGAAGGATAAGGGAATGGAAATACCACAAAAATCAACCAAAGCCATATTATTGCATCTTATTAAAAGACAAAAATTTGAAAAAGAGTATGTTGTTGACAATCTGCTTCAGCAAAATGGCCATGAAGTATTACGTCTACCTCCCTATTACTGCATTTTTAACCCGATTGAGTTGGTCTGGGCTGCTTTAAAAAAAAGTAAGAAAACATAATCAGACCCCTCAATTAAGTGAATCGCTATTGGCCACAATAAGAGATGCAGTATCTCATATTGCTGCCACAGACCTATGGAAGCAGTGTTCTAGGCATATTATTGAAAAAGAAAATAAATATTGTGTTTTGCCTCCTGTAAATCCCGTTGTAATTCCTCTACAAGATGACTCTAGCGACAGCTCCGAAGGCGAAGATGATATATATATATATATATATATATATTATATACCTTTTTATATACCTACCTGCTATGTAAATATTTGCCTATGTCAAACGTTGGAATTCTGTAATTATTCCATTTCTTAACTTTCAGTCAACATAAATTAAACTCCCAATATAAGTATTTTTTATCCCAAATCAAAAAAATAAGAAGATAGTAAAATCCATTTATTGTGATATAAAAACATTATTATTATCGTTCTAAATAAATGACCGCACGCCTATGATACGTCATGAAATTACAAAGGACGCGCCGACCAAAGGTTTTTATGCTATTTCAAGTGACTTCAGATAAAGTATATATTGAGTTATGTCTGAGATTCCTGTAATTGAGATCCCCACGTGGTACTAGCCTTTTTAGTAGATAAGTGCAGCAGCTATTTTGAATTTTTTGTACTCAATATCTAGTCACGTAATCAAGAAAGTAAACAGCAATTGAATCATTTATTAACGATAGCACCAGAGTCTCATCCAGTTTTTTGCGAGTCCTGAAGTTCAGGATATGGCGATTTGTGTATAATATCTTCAAACGCATTTATGATGAGCGAGATAAATGCGTAACATGTTGCTTAAACCTCAAATCTGAATCCATGATGATCCCTAAATTCTTCGCATGGTCTACTATAGGAATATGGGTTTCGTTAGGACTAGGAACAATTGTGCCATCTAACTGTTCTACTCACTGTTTTGGGCCAAATAGTATGGTAGAACATTTTGAAGCATTGATCTTCAGACAATGTCTTTTGCAGTACTCTTCAATATTAACTAGATCTAAGTTCAATTTATATGATGCTTCATGCATGTCGAAAGAATCAAAAGGCAGAGTTAGCTGTGTGTCATCTGCATACGTTTGAAAATTACAGTGCTGAAGGCAATTAAGCAGATCAAAAGTATAAACTAAGTAGAGTAATGGCCCCAACGTAGAGCCTTGAGGTACGCCAGATGCAACATTTTTTGCCGAAAAAAGTCCCTTACGCGTTTTCACCTTCTGGGTACGATTGCGCAAATACGAATCGAAAAATCTGTGTTTGCTTTATCGTGACTTCAAGGTGCTATATTTGGAATTTCAATATAATGTTTCACCTCAGTCATCAACTTAACTTTTTCTTGTGAACACCATATTGCATTTTTGCATAGGTTGGTACAGTTATCAATTCTAAATCCATAAATATAGTTTGTAATACATTAATACTGTAAAGCTATAATTATTGTAAAAAAGTAGAGCTTGAAATTGAATCAAAAGTAATATGTGTAACAATCTGATATGGCGTTCATACGAAAAAATGCCCCTATTGAAATTCTAATATAATCATCTTGTAGAGGAAAAAGGTGGCAATGTTATTATGTTATTTATTTCAGACTTTCACCTGAAATAAATTCAGGATAAATAAAATTGGTTTTTTGAACATACTCTAGGCTGATTGTGCTGATGCACAGAAGCCAAGACGAATCAGAGAAGAAGAAGAGGAAAAAGAAGAAATAGAGAATACTCTGAATGATGAAGCTTTTTCGGTTCCATTTTCTTACTTATCTAAATGTGCAACATTGCCTCCGTTCCACCGATTTTCGAGATCCTAATGGTGAGAATTAAAGTTGTTAAAACACCCGGCATGTTCCACTGCAGAGTAGAGTGCCTCTGATGAAATACTGTAGCATATCAGGACAATTTTCACAAAATACTGATTGAAATCGGTTACGATCATTACAAGTTATACAGAGTGATTCACAAGTCGTAACCAAAAATGAAACATTATACACAAGACCGCATTTTACGGGGTCTTCTATGTAACATTTTTTTCAATGGCGAGCTGTTTATGCACGTATTGCCACAACGTTTAAATGCAAACTCATACTTAGGTTTTCTAGAGAATAATAGTAATAATAATAATATTTATTCGCCAAAATACAAAAAATGGGCAAATAAATATGAAAAAACCACAGAAGGCATCGCCTGTGTGTGGTTTATATCTTAATAACTAACAATCAATCATATATGTGTATAACAATTATTGTTAAATCTAAAAGGTATTAATGTAATTGGAATTTTGTAGTTTTAGTTTTCTATATAATTATGTATAGTCATTCGCTGCACATTACTAACCCAGTCTTTCAATTTTCTTCTAATTTTTTTTCCAAAATTAAGTATCTTTATTTCGTTTGGTACTACATTATATAATTTAGCTGCTAAGAATTTAAATGATTTTTGAATAATGTTTTGTGTGGTCTTTGGATATTAGATGAGCCTATTCGAAATCGTGTGTTATGCTCGTGTTTATAGGGTTTTTTCTTTCTATTACAATACTTATGGTATAAGGTGGTAGCATGTAAGAAATAAAGTTGTCTTGTATCAAGTATCCCTGTTTCTTGATATAAGATGTTCGTGGGATATAATCTTGGCTTATGGAAAATGGCTTTCAAAACAGTTTTTTGTGCTATATTCAGGTCAGAAATATATGTCTTGCAGGCGGCACCCCAGGCTGTGATGCCGTATATTATATGGGTTTCAACTAAGGCATGGTATAGGATTCGCAGATAACTTTCTGTAAGAACGTTAGCAACCATTTTGAGTTTATAGGCAACATTTCTAATTTTTTTGATAACATATTTAATATGGTTATCCCACCTTAGATGTGAGTCTATAAATATTCCAAGATATTTCAAAGTGTTAACTCTATCGATTTTGGTCTTTTGGCCATGATAATTAACGGAAATTTGTTCGAAGGTAGGTAAAAATTTTGAATAGGATGTAAATGCAATAAATTTTGTTTTTTTGAAGTTAACTGTTAAAATGTTAGTATCAAACCAGTCAATGATCCTTATAAAATCCTTTTCAGCTACTTGCTTCAGTGTGCTCCAGTCATCAGCTTTATATAATACGAGGGTGTCATCTGCAAAACATATAATCTTTCCAGAACTGTTAATTTTGAATAAGTCATTTAAGTAGAGACTAAATAATAGTGGGCCTAGTACTGTTCCTTGAGGCACACCACACTTGATGTACATTTTTTTACTGTAAGTGTTAGTGATTTTGACAGTCTGTGCCCGACTTGAAAGGTAATTTTTTACAACGATTTGTGACGCTCCCCTAAATCCTAATCTTTCCATAACTTTCAGAAGCTCGACATGGTTAACCGTATCAAAGGCATTTTTTAGATCAACAAAGATACCAATAGTAGGTATCTTTTTGTTGACATTAGAGTTAATTTCATCCATTGCAGCCAAAATTGCATCTGTAGTAGATTTTCCTTTTCTAAATCCATATTGGTCAGAACATATAATTTTGTTTTTGTCCAAAAATTGTAATATCCTTTTTTGTAGTAATTTTTCGAAAATTTTGGCTATATTCGATAGTACTGATATGGGTCTATAATTTGATGTTTCCATTCTGTCACCGCTTTTATAAACAGGAGTAATAACAGTTGTTTTAAATGCATCAGGACAAATTCCAGATTGGAAACACCAATTAATGACGTAGGAAAGTGGTTCGGCTAAGTCGTAGGCTATTATTTTTAAATGGTCAGCTTTGATACCATCTACACCAGGACTTTTTTTGGTTTTAAGTGATAGGACAGCTTCCTGTACTTCAATCGGACTAACGCTTTTTAAAAAGAATGAATTGGGAAGTTGGGTTTTTGTGAACTTTTCGTTCGAAACCATTTTTTTAATACTGGATGCTAAATTTTCTCCAACATTAGTGAAAAAGTTTAAGGATGCATCGGATATTTGTCGTTTATCTGTTAATATTGTTCCATCACGATTCTTAATTTCATCAATATTTGGCTTTTCTTGTACGTCTTTGTTAGTGAAGTGATCGACAACTGACCACAGTTTTATTGGATCAGATTTGGCATCTTGTAATTTTTTTAGATAGAATTGGCGTTTCGCTTCTCTAACTAGATTGATAAAAATATTTTTATATGTGTTAGATGATGTTCCTGTTAGTTTACAAATGTGATATCAGCACGACGGTGCCCCATCGCATGTTCGTCGTTACGACCCCATTTTGTTTATATCGAAGCAACTGCGCAGGAAGAAGCCTAAATGCCGGAACACCGCGGCTGCTATGAGGATCCCAAAGAAATTTTTGAACTGCCTAAAGTTAGTAGAACTGGGAAAACCCTCCTCTTGTAGACCGTTCCACAATCTCGACACCCTCGGGCAAAGGAGCAGTCGTATCGGCCAGTTCGGGATGTACGAAGTTCGACACGGTTAGGATGGGGCGCCAAAGTCAGACGGGTCTGTGTGGCAGGCACATCGCGCGGCGGCATCATGGAAGAGAGCTTTGAGGAGCAAATCCCGTTGGTGTAGCGGTAGAAAAGAGCCATATCATCGACGGTCCGCCGGTGCGAAAGGGTCCAGCGACTGTCTGTTAGAGAAGAGTCATCGATCAGTCGGACCGCCCTCCTCTGGACAGCATCCAGATGAGTGCTAGGACGCTTTTTGTCCATCAAAGTACAGTACTGTATTTTGGAAGCACTGAACTGTATAAGATTGTTGCGTCCCCAAGCACTGATAACCTCCAGGTCTCTTGACAGAGAGGAAGTCGTCGCTAGTCTTCTTTTTTCCAGCTCAACGGCAGACATCGGCTTGTCACTCTCAATTCCTGCATGTCGGAGCCAAGAGCGATCCCTGGGAAACACCCGCGTTGACGTTGTAGGATGCAGAGGAGAACCCGTCAATTACGACAGATATCTTGCGGCCAGAAATGAAGTCAGCCACCCGTATGCAAAGCTTTTCTGGGAGGCCATAGAATGGAAGTTTGCTTAAGAGAGCAGCGTGCCACAGCTGATCGAACGCTTTCGTGATGTCAAGAGCAACGACATGAGCCGCACCATAAGACTGGATGAGTCTACTCCACTATTGCGTGACGTAAGCTAGGCTAGTCTTAGATCCCATGGTTAAATAATTAGTTTAGACGACGATAGGTTAGCAGAATCGGACCCGTACATTGGCCTGCGAGGTCTCCTGATTTGAACCCCCTGGATTTCCTTTTGTGGGGCGCTTTTGAACAACTAGTGTATACTGAACAAATTAATACTGTTGATCAGTTACAAGAAAGAATAGATAATGCGTTTCATTAAATTCAAGCCACAACAAATTTTGAGGAAATTAAAAAGAAGTCTTTTTGAACAGTTATTGAAATAAAGCTTTGATTATCTACTTTACCTGTCTTTCATTTTTACGAAAACAATGCACTCTAGGAAAAAACACAGGAATAATTCTTTGTAGCAAATTGAAGGTAAAATTCGAAAAACAACACGTTTTGGAAACACAGTGGCGTACTATTTTTATTTGGAAAAATAATGCAACTAATCCCCTGTATCTCCGCCACTGGTGCACGTTACTTTTAAGTAAACATTTTTGAATGTGGAAAATACTTGGGTAAATCCACATACCAAGTTTTAATTCAATCCAGTTGACGATTTTGAAGAAATTAAAAAAATTTTGTTTTATTTTTAAACTTCAACACCCTGTATCTTTTAAGTGAAGCCTGCGAGGTAAACATGTTACATAAAAGACCCCCCTTAAAATGCGGTCCTTTCTATGATGTTTCGTTTTTGGTCAAGGACTTGTGAATCACCCTGTATATTGGTATATCGACTAGTTCGTTGCGATTATATGCCTAAGCTTTCTTAATTACTTTATGGTAAAAAAATCTGACGGAGTCGAAGCAGTACAAGCTATGCCTCTTCCACTTGACGATGTTGGTGCATTTTGAAAGTACTCGGATAATCAGTTTTTATTTGTTGCCCGGTATTGATATGATGTATTTGTTATATTGGTCGAGTCAGATGCAAGAAATGCGAAGATAGTCATTTTTGAGAGGAGAGGGGAAGGCGCATATAAGCTACTGAGACTTACCTCCAGGTATTTTTCCTGTTTTTGTCAAAATCCAGCTTCTCTTTGAACAAATATCTGGCTGTTCCGCACATGCCATCTCGATAATACTCATAAACTTCTCTTCTAGTCATGTGCAGGAAAGGCCAAAACTTAAATTCATCGATATCTCTTTCATCTTCAATAGTGTCTCGTAAGGACATGGATCTGTCATTGACGAAGTGCCAAGTATGGCTTATAAAGTAGAAAAGTACCACGTTGGCAATGTAGATCTTCCTCTGAATCTTGAACACACTTTAAAATAATTAAATTTTGAAATTCCGAATTTGTGGAAAAGCTCCGAAAATTCTAATCATTCTAAAAGCTTTGGGGATTAAGAGGGTAACTTAATTTGAAATACGGAATTTCAAAAATATTTTGAGAATACCGTTTTGAGGACGTGTAAACTTTGATTTTTTTTAAAATATCGAGATTTCAGAGAATTGTAAAAATACTGACAGATTTGAAATTCTTAAGAACTTTGAAAACTAGAATATTGAAGTTCCTGAAAGATTTAGTATTTTTTTTGAGGTTTCGTTGGTTTTGCTATTTTTTTTGTGATTTGAAAATACACCGACAGTTGGGAGATTCGAAAATTTTCTATATTATGAAAAAATACTCACATTGGCTTCATCCCAGCTACTCTCAATGCCAAATCAAGGAAAACAGCTGGAAGCATATGGTACACTAACACTTTAATATAGTAGTCGTACCAACACCTAGTCATCTTAAACCAAGGGTACCACAGAATCTGCTCATATGGTGTGTCCCAAATCAAGTCAGCACCCATCTGTACAATCTCACCTGTGGTAGTCGGCAAATACTTATACTTACTTCCATTGTATACAACGACTTCATTCAAGTGTCTGGAAAAGTAGGTTGAAATATTTCATTGTATTTCTTTGACAAGACACTGGACAGGTTACGTTGTTTCCTCTGCTTGCAACGATCAAATATTTTGTTACAGATATTCTATGCACAGAAGCAGTATATTTTTGTTTTTTATTGTTTATATTTAAGCCACAATCTATACTAAGTGACATATAAATCCGAACACCCAGTTTAAATGGTTTTATTTTAATAAAATTTTGTATAAGTACTTAATGAAGCATAATAAGTAAATGATAAACATTTCAAAATGATTGCACTGCTTTAAAGCCCTTTGACCTTTAATAATGTGTGGATGCACCCTGATGTGCTACGCATTCTCCAACGCGCCTAGGCATGCTTCTGATCAGGTGGTCAATGTCCTCCTGTGGTATCTCATTCCAGGCAACCACCAACTCCTCTCGAAGTGCTTCTAGAGTCTGAGGAGGACGTTGCAAATTGAGCAATCTCCTACCCATCATATCCCACACGTGCTCAATTGGGGATAAGTCGGGAGATCTTGCTGGTCATGGTAACAATGTGACATCATTATGTTGAAAGAAGTCTATTGTGACTCTTGCAACATGTGATCATGGAAAGTTGGATCTGCCAGGGTGTCAAGATGGGGTTCTAGAACTTCGTGGATATAACGCTGCGCGTTCATGTTACCTCTGATGAAGATTAAAGGTGACCTGGAACCATAAGCTATAGCACCCCAAACCATAACTCCAACAGTGTGATGAACATGTCTTTCAACAAAAAACTGTGGATTCCTCCTTTCACCACGTCGCCTTCTAACCCTGGCACGACCATCGTGCATGCCTAAACAAAATCGAGACTCGTCACTAAAGACAATACTGTTCCATTCCTGATCCGAGAGTGACCGTTGTCCTCACCACTCACGGCGATTACGTCGGTGTTCGCGAGTTAAAGGGAGGACCCAGTGTGGCCGGTATGAAAACAAGCCAAAACTTCTCATTCGTCGGTAAACACTTCGCATGCCAATTGGTCTTCCGTGTTCTGCAAACCATTCATTTGCAATGGACCTGGTAGTGGAGAAACGGTCGCTCAAGGCCAATAATCTTAGGCGGCGATCTTCACGGTCTGTTGTTCTACGGCGGCGTCCAGTGCCCCTTGCTCTTTGCGTACGGCCTTCTCGAAGCCATGCCTGACAACACCTAACCACAGTGTCTACACTTCTTTGCACTCTAACTGCAATTTCCCGAAAAGAAAGTCCAGCTTCCTGAAGTCCCACTATACGGCCCCTATCAAACTCACTAAGTTGACGAAATCGTACAGGTCTCCGTACTCTAGGCATCGTAACCGATCGTAAAGGATGTCAAGAACCAAAATCCGCCAACGTTGATTCTTTACTGCGGCTGAAATATTCATTTTTAGAGCGTTAGTGAATTAAAAGAAAGCAGTATAAAAACCGGAATGTCCAACTGATAAGGCTGAAAATTTTTTCACTTGTTATTTACAGTAAGATAAATACATTCACCAACTTTTATTAAAATAAAACCATTTAAACTGGGTGTTCGGATTTATATGTCACTTAGTATATATAAAATGAAGGTTTCAAATTGAAAAAAATCAAACGTGTTTTTTTACCTATTTTGAACAAATCTAGTAGCATATTCTCTTTACTTTTATATGATCAAATTTCTAATTAGTATCTCAAAAAACAAATAATGCGAGAACTACGTATCAAATATGTAGAGGTACTGTAAATCTTCGCACATTTATGACACATTTATGAGTTCAGTTGCTATTTATTAGGTGCTGCTGAAATATGAAAATATTCCGTGACTTATATAAGCTGCAGAATCTTGACCTACTGATTAGTATTAGCTGTGTTGAAAAACTTACTTCGTTGCTAGTGTTTCTTTGGTTGCTAATATCAGTAGACTAGCAATTATGTCACATGAGATATAGTCTTGAACACTCTCTTGTAGACCATAGACAGTCCTCAGTAGACCTGAAATATTGTTAAGTTAATATATCTAACATGACGTGCCTGTTTGGTAAATGACGACCATAATTTTCCTAACAACAGTTCTGTTTGGAGTTAGCAGGGTCTTCAGAATCTCGGCAAGTTGACATATAATGTCAGAGTATTTCATTGCCCTTTCATGGCCCATTGTGACAGACCTTTTAATCTCTTTCCAAATTGTGCCATAAAGAAGTGGTGTTGAACGATTCACCGCAAATTTCAGGTCTGATAGTCTGCTGTGATAATGCTGAGAGGTGGTAATAGATTTCATTAATCTCCGTCACCTTGTTTTTTGAATTTTTTTAAAGATTTTGTATAAATTGTCCACTGAGCACCATTACATTTTTTACACCGATGTCACAGCGGCTGGTATGAGGAGCTTGAAGAAACTTTATCGATTTTTGAGCTGTCTAATGTTAGTAATAGTAGTAGTAAGTGGTTCTGACATACCTTTTCCACCAGCAGCTAGCAATCCTACAGGTCCATTGAAGTTATCATTCCATCCTACGACGGGCTCACGTATACTGTTTATGACTGAAATCAAAATATTGTTTTGTGCAAGGATTTTCATAGCCGTCGATTAATAGAGATTCTGCATAAGCCAGCTGCTATATATTCCGTCTAGAACAGGCTACTTGGCCCATACCTGATTTCGTAACAGTATGAGTAGTACGATATTAGTATTTCTTTTTTCAGCACAAGATGGATATATAGGTCCAATTTAAAATAAAACATGTTTAGCACGAATTTATTATTACGGAACGGTGAAAACACCATCGGCTGTGATGCGACGTCATAAACATTTTAAACAAAGAAACTTCATCCATATTTCATTCATGTACTAACCTCGTCTTCTTTAAACATTCCTAAATACAACTAGTCAACGTAAAAATATCGTTTTCTCGTTCCATTGAAAAAACATAATTATTGACGATGGATTCTTAAAAGCAGAAGCACAAAAATTTTGCCGAAAATTGTCACATTGGTTACTATTACAGATTTCCGACCTACTAAGCTGAGGAACATTAAGACTTTTATGTAAGTACAATCGCCGAGTCAAACTAGTTGACACCACTATTTCCTTACCTACTGAAGGCCTAAATATAATCGTTGGAGCCTTTCCAAGCATCATATCCTCTACAGTATGTTCGGCGAGAGACTTTGCGAACGTATAAGTATTGGGATGTGGTGCGATATAGTGATGGGTCAATGCTTGTAGATTCATGTCATCCGTTTCTTCAGCCAAGCGGATAGCGTCCCTCCAATCTGCCCGAGCTGGATAGATTTTCTCTTCTATGATTTCCCTAAAAAAGAATACCATCTGCATTAACTACTTAGGAAGTAACCAGTGTCTATGCGTGATTTAACTGTGCGTATCTTAAGTACAGCTTAACACGAGGGTACATTAAGTCTGCCATAGGCGTCGCTGCTACTGTTATAAATGAGAAAGAGTGGACGTTTGTTGCTCAAAACTGCTGAGCTCATTTGGATCAAACTTGATATAGAGATATGTCAATCATAAGATATCTTTTATACCAGACAATAACTTTGGAATGTCCATTCCACGGGCTCAAACGGTTAAATGAGTTAGGGTATATTCGCATCGTGCATTTACAGCATTTCTTATTTTAATAAAAGTTGGTGAATGTATTTATCTTACTGTAAATAACAAGTGAAAAAATTTTCAGCCTTATCAGTTGGACATTCCGGTTTTTATACTGCTTTTTTTTAACTCACTAACGCTCTAAAAATGAATATTTCAGCCGCAGTAAAGAATCAACGTTGGCGGATTTTGGTTCTTGTCATCCTTTACGATCGGTTACGATGCCTAGAGTACGGAGACCTGTACGATTTCGTCAACTTAGTGAGTTTGATAGGGGCCGTATAGTGGGACTTCGGGAAGCTGGACCTTCTTTTCGGGCAATTGCAGTTAGAGTGCAAAGAAGTGTAGACACTGTGGTTAGGTGTTGTCAGGCATGGCTTCGAGAAGGCCGTACGCAAAGAGCAAGGGGCACTGGACGCCGCCGTAGAACAACAGACCGTGAAGATCGCCGCCTAAGATTATTGGCCTTAAGGGACCGTTTCTCCACTACCAGGTCCATTGCAAATGAATGGTTTGCAGAACACGGAAGACCTATTGGCATGCGAAGTGTTTACCGACGAATGAGAAGTTTTGGCTTGTTTTCATACCGGACACACTGGGTCCTCCTTTTAACTCGAGAACACCGACGTAATCGCCTTGAGTGGTGCAGACAACGGTCACTCTGGGATCAGGAATGGAACAGTATTGTCTTTAGTGACGAGTCTCGATTTTGTTTAGGCATGCACGATGGTCATGCCAGGGTTAGAAGGCGACGTGGTGAAAGGAGGAATCCACAGTTTTTTGTTGAAAGACATGTTCATCACACTGTTGGAGTTATGGTTTGGGGTGCTATAGCTTATGGTTTCAGGTCACCTTTAATCTTCATCAGAGGTAACATGAACGCGCAGCGTTATATCCACGAAGTTCTAGAACCCCATCTTTTACCCTATCTTGACACCCTGGCAGATCCAACTGTCCAACAAGATAATGCCCGACCACATGTTGCAAGAGTCACAATAGACTTCTTTCAACATAATGATGTCACATTGTTACCATGGCCACCAAGATCTCCCGACTTATCCCCAATTGAGCACGTGTGGGATATGATGGGTAGGAGATTGGTCAATTTGCAACGTCCTCCTCAGACTCTAGAAGCACTTCGAGAGGAGTTGGTGGTTGCCTGGAATGAGATACCACAGGAGGACATTGACCACCTGATCAGAAGCATGCCTAGGCGCGTTGGAGAATGCGTAGCACATCAGGGTGCATCCACACATTATTAAAGGTCAAAGGGCTTTAAAGCAGTGCAATCATTTTGAAATTTTTATCATTTACTTATTATGCTTCGTTAAGTACTTATACAAAATTTTATTAAAATAAAACCATTTAAACTGAGTGTTCGGATTTATATGTCACTTAGTATATCTAAATTACAACATTATTGTTTGACGGGGAATGCCATGCTGTGGTTTAATAACTACTTATCGGGTAGGTTTCAATGTGCGAAGGTCTACGATAAAGTGTCTACAACCTGTGAGTTCTGGTGTTTCACAAGGAAGTGTTTTGGGCCCTATTTTATTTGCTTTCTACATTTCAGATTTGATAGACATCTGGTTGAACTATACATTAACTTGTACGCAGATCATGTGCAAGTTTACAGAGCATCCTAACCGAAATTCTTTGATAGAAAAACTTAAATATGCTAGAATATTATTTAAAAAAATAGTGTTTGAAAATTAACCCTTCAAACACCGAATATGTTTCATTCAATTCACAAGTTTATAGAATCAATGGACCCAAACATAATTTTAAGAGGTATTGCCATTGAATTTGTAGATGAATCCAAAAATTTAGGAATAAAACTTCGAAAATCATATTATGGGTAAGTTCAGTATATATGTTATGAATACAAATCGCTTTCGAGGTAATAAGCGAGACTGAACTGAAACTTGTGAACTCATTAATCCTCACACATTTAGAGTACGGTATTGCTGTTTATTACAATTTTCTGATCGAAGAAATCAAACAAAAAATTCAATTTCTGCAAAACTGTTACGTGAGGTTTTGCTTCAATGAGGTCAGCAGACACAAGCACATCTCTGGCTATTAATTAAGAGAAAATGTTTTGAAATTCAGATTCATTAGTTATCTATACCTCTTTATTATTTAAGATTTTGAAATATAAATGTCCATATTATTTTGTAATATCTTGAAGGAAAGATCTTCACGTATCATAATTATTATTGCTACAATATTCCCACCCATAGTGCAAAAAAATGTAGATGCTTACCCAACATTCTTTGAACTAACATCCAGTCATAGTTTCAAAAAATAATTTAAAAAAGAGCTGCATCAGCTACAACTTGATGAAGCTTCAAGTAATGAAATAGTTAATTTTCGGAATATATACCATTATTATCCTTTGAAAGTTAGATATCTACAAGTCGTTGTATGTGGTGAATATGATTTTCTCAGAGAGCATTTTAAGCACAGAATCAAATTACTTTTGTTATCCTGAAATCTTTCCTAAAACCCGACTCCAAAAAAATACGTGATTGTCGAGTTTTCGTGATGAAAATATACAATGCGTTCTAGACCACCATCCGTAAATATTGAAAAAAGTATGGTTAGGGAAAAAATGTGGGATCATGGTGTTTTCGTGACGAAAAATTCAGGGTATTCTTTCAATATATTGTACAATACCTGCCGTAAATAAAGCCGATGTTAATTTATTTATTTATTTAAAACCTTGTGTTATATCAAATTGCTTTGCTTGAAATTGCATATGCAAGTCTGCAATAAAATTACTTCCTATTGAAATGCAACCCTATATAAATAAAAATAAAAAATATACGTAAGGAGCGTACTATTGGCGACAGTATTTGTCACGCGAGTTATCGATCACACTAAAAAGCAATCCATATCGAATTCACCAAAGAACGCTATCCTGTCCACCTGTTGCCGAGTTGACAGGTGAACGAGTTTGTTAAGTTTCATTCAAGAAAACTAGAGACAGAGTGCCAGGGGTGAAGCCAAGGATGTACAGAATAAAGACGAGCTATCTACTATAACCATAACGCAGAAATGTTCTGCGCAAATGGTATCTCGCTCATGTCTGCATCTTTCTGTTCAAATTCAAATTCCTTTACCATACATAAGTATAAACAGGATAACGACATATGTATAGCATAGTAAAGACCAAAAACTATCCAGTCATCTTAGAGTCTTAAAGTACAGTTAAAAAGATATTTACAAGAATTGCAGAACGGAAGTTCCTTCGTTTCATACTTTTTTATTTTTGGGCAGGTATTTTTCCGTTTCTTCAAAACCTGACATCTCTTCTTTTTATAGCTGAATTGGCAATTCTTGTTATCCAATCCATACTCACATTTTTTTGTTCGTTCTTGTGTAACGTTTTTTCAATATTACTTCTCTACGGGGTTAGATGGTGGATTAGCAGGTGCTAAATCTCGCCCCATGTAATGTACCATGTTTGGTCAGTAAGGACGATTATTATTATTAATATTATTTTAGTACAATATTACCAAAAAGTAAAGACGAAATAAAAGACAAACTAAAAGAGCAATAAACACACTGAATACAGGAAAATTAAAACGTGTATGTGACTGCCACGTTAATGGACCTCCTGACAATTATATTATTTCAGGTTCTTCAGAAACGCAAGACTCTATAGACGCTGTTAGATAAGAGCAACCTCTTAAGGTGCTTTTTAAAGAGCATAAGGTTATCTCAATTTTTAAGCGATTCTGGTAACTAATTGTATATCCTTGTACCAGCGTACCTAGGCGACTTTTCATGAGTAGTTAAGTTATGCTTATCTAAACAAAATTGGTGTTTATTCTTCGTGTTATAATCACGGCAGTGCGACTTTTTTGAAAAGTACATTTGTTTTTATCAGTATTGCTATGTCTCCAGTTTTAACGGTTCACGCTAGCTGCAAGCAGAAATGTTAGTGTTGATAAACCAACAAAGCATGGCAATACGTGAGCAAAGTGTAAAAGCTTGAGAATCAGGATTTTGCAATGTACGTGATCAAAATAAAGGATGCCGTAATGTGCCACGAGCATGTGTATATATATATATATACTCCTTAGACAGTGTTTCTCATCTTCACGGTTTAGCTCTTTCTTGGATTTGGATGCAGTTTAGACCTACCTGTCTATATTACAGTAAGTGGTCGATATATGGACGAAAGCTTCTAACTTCTTGCACTCCAATGCTAAAGCAGCAGTCTCCCTGGTCCCTCGTACGTTCATGATTATGGCGTACTTCAAAGAATCGTCAAACCGGACGGAAGCCGCTGAATGGTAGAAAATGTGGCAGTTTTCGCTAACTAATCGTCTGTCCTCTTCGGTCATACCTGCATCAAGGAGGCCCGAAATTCGGGCGACTTTTACTCTATAACGCATGTTATGTGGTTTTATTTCGACCGTCAATAGACAAAGCGAAAACCTCTTATTCATAGGCGGAGTTACACTACTGGATCTTTTTTCATAATCACGCCTGCCGAATGTCATTTTAATACGAGTCAAGTGGTTGCCAGGCGGATTTGGATAAATATGTTTTCAAGCCGCTAAATCAAACCACAGAAATTTAGGCATTGGGATACCGCTTTAAACCTTGCCAAATATATTAAGTGACATATAAATCCGAACACCCAGTTTAAATGGTTTTATTTTAATAAAATTTTGTATAAGTACTTAATGAAGCATAATAAGTAAATGATAAAAATTTCAAAATGATTGCACTGCTTTAAAGCCCTTTGACCTTTAATAATGTGTGGATGCACCCTGATGTGCTACGCATTCTCCAACGCGCCTAGGCATGCTTCTGATCAGGTGATCAATGTCCTCCTGTGGTATCTCATTCCAGGCAACCACCAACTCCTCTCGAAGTGCTTCTAGAGTCTGAGGAGGACGTCGCAAATTGAGCAATCTCCTACACATCATATCCCACACGTGCTCAATTGGGGATAAGTCGGGAGATCTTGGTGGCCATAGTAACAATGTGACATCATTATGTTGAAACAAGTCTATTGTGACTCTTGCAACATGTGGTCGGGCATTATCTTGTTGGAAAGTTGGATCTGCCAGGGTGTCAAGATAGGGTAAAAGATGGGGTTCTAGAATTTCGTGGATATAACGCTGCGCGTTCATGTTACCTCTGATGAAGATTAAAGGTGGCCTGGAACCATAAGCTATAGCACCCCAAACCATAACTCCAACAGTGTGATGAACATGTCCTTCAACAAAAAACTGTGGATTCCTCTTTTTACCACGTCGCCTTCTAACCCTGGCACGACCATCGTGCATGCCTAAACAAAATCGAGACTCGTCGCTAAAGACAATACTGTTCCATGCCTGATCCTAGAGTGACCGTTGTCTGCACCACTCAAGGCGATTACGTCGGTGTTCTCGAGTTAAAGGGAGGACCCAGTGTGGCCGGTATGAAAACAAGCCAAAACTTCTCATTCGTCGGTAAACACTTCGCATGCCAATAGGTCTTCCGTGTTTTGCAAACCATTCATTTGCAATGGACCTGGTAGTGGAGAAACGGTCCCTTAAGGCCAATAATCTTAGGCGGCGATCTTCACGGTCTGTTGTTCTACGGCGGCGTCCAGTGCTTCTTGCTCTTTGCGTACGGCCTTCTCGAAGCCATGCCTGACAACACCTAACCACAGTAACTACACTTCTTTGCACTCTAACTGCAATTGCCCGAAAAGAAAGTCCAGCTTCCCGAAGTCCCACTATCAAACTCACTAAGTTGACGAAATCGTACAGGTCTCCGTACTCTAGGCATCGTAACCGATCGTAAAGGATGTCAAGAACCAAAATCCGCCAACGTTGATTCTTTACTGCGGCTCAAATATTCATTTTTAGAGCGTTAGTGAATTAAAAAAAAGCAGTATAATAACCGGAATGTCCAACTGATAAGGCTGAAAATTTTTTCACTTGTTATCTACAGTAAGATAAATACATTCACCAACTTTTATTAAAATAAAACCATTTAAACTAGGTGTTCGGATTTATATGTCACTTAGTATATTTTCTATAGCTAGCATGTTTTTCGAGAAATTCTATTATCTCGGGATACCTTCTGGATGCCTCAAAATGACCTTGAAGCTCATGGTCAAAGTCATGGACAAGGATTCAGTTGATCGTAAATTTTCCTGCTCTTTACATTTCCATTGTCGAAAATTGGGATTTCCATTTAAGAAAGCTGTCTTGACCGCCAAACGACCTTGAAGGTAGCAGTCACGTTCAAGGTCACCATTAGATGACCCTTTTCAGACTTTGATCTGCAACACCCTCCTAGAGATCGTATTTTTCGAGATATTTTGATCGATCCACACTTTATGGGCACCCTGTGTAATTGAAAATTGAATACTGTTCGGGGTGTTACAGGCAACAAATTTAACTTTATTTTAGATACTTGGCAACCTTAGAAATAATAGCTTCTAGCTGGGTTCTTGACCATTGAAAATGGTAACAAACAAATTCAGATGAGCAGAAATTACTGTTTGACATTTCAACTCACATTGTCTCGTCACTCATGTTGACAGAGCTATCAGGGTATTCAGGTCACAAGCACACGAGATAAGCATATCGAGTATTGGCTAAATGATTTTAGATCTATCAAATAGTTAAGGTTGCTGTAATTTTGAACCTGCAATATCTGACAGTTATTGGTATTCAATTTACAAAACGTTGACACCACAGAATATAAACTCAAGTCCATAGAATGTATAAGGATGAACGGTTCTACCGAAGAAATTTTATAAAACCTTTTTCAGTGCCCATAGGTGACGCTACAAACCTTTGATCATTTCTTTGATATCGTCATTTGGTGCTATGAGTTGAGCCTTCCTAAAAAATACTTACAGGCTAAACAAAATTATAGTAGGAAGATTACCTTCTCGCATGATCTTTACAAAACAATAGATAATCTAGAAGTTCTATATAAAATTTAAAAAAAATTCAGCGGCCGAGAAATATCAGAACTATACAAATCGCTAAAGGAAAAAATTGAGGACAAATGGACAATTGAGGAAAATCTAAATCACGAAATCATACTAATGAAATAGTCAGTAGATCCAATAATACCACAAAGGCACTATGGCATATGGTAAATACTCTACTAGGGAATACAGAATCAAAAAAGGTTATTAATAACGTGGACGAAAATGACCCAAGAAAAGTGGCTGATCTGTTCGGATCCTGTTTTTCAAGTGAAGATGAGGTAAATTTAATCAGTCATTACCAGCAAAGTTTGTCAAACAACTGCAACCGAACAAAAAAAATGTATTATTATTCTATCTTTTTAACGCGTGATTAACATCATTCGAAAACTCCCACATAATAAATCTTGCGGCTGTTACCATGCATGTATCAAAGTCAACAGATTGTGCACGGCTGGCAGACATAATAAATGAGCCTATACCTAATAGTGAGTATCTTGATCAGCTTAAAGTAGTAACAATAATTCCAATCCATAAAAAGGGTTAACTCTACATGGAAAACTTTAAACCTATATCTTTATTGAGTGCGAGTGTGTTTTGAAATATAATAGAGAAAGTCAAGGTTATGTGAACTTATTCATTTCTGGAATGATTTAATGCACCTGCAGATCCCGGTTTTCGAAAAAAACGAGGTACAGAAACTTCTATAGTAGACTTCGCACAAACCATATACATATTATGAACTACTGGATGAGAAAAAATATGTAGTCACAATTTCAGTCGATTTATCTAGAGAATTTGACATCCTAGACATAGTTTTCCAAAATCTCCAAAACGAAGAAATACAAGTTAGAATAGAAAAAGCAGTATCTCACACCTAATATAAGGAATCTTCTTAGGTCCACTTATTTTTCTAATGTATATTAATGATCTGCCAGAACATATCAATTTGGGTAAGATGGTCCTGAATGCGGATGTTAGATGATAGACGTTACTGTTTTTTTTGGTATATTGTGATATACATAATATGTATACTAAGTGACATATAAATCCGAACACCCAGTTTAAATGGTTTTATTTTAATAAAAGTTGGTGAATGTATTTATCTTACTGTAAATAACAAGTGAAAAAATTTTCAGCCTTATCAGTTGGACATTCCGGTTTTTATACTGCTTTTTTTTTAATTCACTAACGCTCCAAAAATGAATATTTCAGCAGCAGTAAAGAATCAACGTTGGCGGATTTTGGTTCTTGACATCCTTTACGATCGGTTACGATGCCTAGAGTACGGAGACCTGTACGATTTCGTCAACTTAGTGAGTTTGATAGGGGCCGTATAGTGGGACTTCGGGAAGCTGGACTTTCTTTTCGGGCAATTGCAGTTAGAGTGCAAAGAAGTGTAGACACTGTGGTTAGGTGTTGTCAGGCATGGCTTCGAGAAGGCCGTACGCAAAGAGCAAGAGGCACTGGACGCCTAAGATTATTGGCCTTAAGCGACCGTTTCTCCACTACCAGGTCCATTGCAAATGAATGGTTTGCAGAACACGGAAGATCTATTGGCATGCGAAGTGTTTACCGACGAATGAGAAGTTTTGGCTTGTTTTCATACCGGCCACACTGGGTCCTCCCTTTAACTCGAGAATCGTAATCGTCTTGAGTGGTGCAGACAATGGTCACTCTGGGATCAGGAATGGCACAGTATTGTCTTTAGTGACGAGTCTCAATTTTGTTTAGGCATGCACGATGGTCGTGCCAGGGTTAGAAGGCGACGTGGTGAAAGGAGGGATCCACAGTTTTTTGTTGAAAGACATGTTCATCACACTGCTGGAGTTATGGTTTGGGGTGCTATAGCTTATGGTTCCAGGTCACCTTTAATCTTCATCAGAGGTAACATGAATGCGCAGCGTTATATCCACGAAGTTCTAGAACCCCATCTTTTACCCTATCTTGACACCCTGGCAGATCCAACTTTCCAACAAGATAATGCCCGACCACATGTTGCAAGAGTCACAATAGACTTCTGTCAACATAATGATGTCACATTGTTAGCATGGCCACCAAGATCTCCCGACTTATCCCCAATTGAGCACGTGTGGGATATGATGGGTAGGAGATTGCTCAATTTGCAACGTCCTCCTCAGACTCTAGAAGCACTTCGAGAGGAGTTGGTGGTTGCCTGGAATGAGATACCACAGGGGGACATTGACCACCTGATCAGAAGCATGCCTAGGCGCGTTGGAGAATGCGTAGCACATCAGGGTACATCCACACATTATTAAAGGTCAAAGGGCTTTAAAGCAGTGCAATCATTTTGAAATTTTTATCATTTACTTATTATGATTCATTAAGTACTTATACAAAATTTTATTAAAATAAAACCATTTAAACTGGATGTTCGGATTTATATGTCACTTAGTATATGTTTTTTGCTAGTATCTGACCTGTGGAATTTTTCTTTGTAAATTACCGTGAATAAATAACTATGGAAATATGAAAAAATATGTAAGCCGGAAAACGATCAACTGTAGAGAAAAATTACCTATCGAGAATCTTTTCTGTTAATAGCGATCCAAAACATTTAATAAAGAAAAAATTTGTTTATTGTAAGTTATTCAATCTTGCACGAGGTTACCGTCCAGCGATTTATTCTCTCCCTTTCTATTGGCGGGAGATATTTGTGTATACCGGCCATACTTTTTGACATTAGTAATACTCGTTAAAAAGCTGATATATCCGATATATACGACCGGGCCACTAATATTGCCCGTTCAGATGCTCGATGATAGGAATCCAACAAACGTGATTATGGGAAAAAGTATAGTCAGACAATTTTGCCAGTAAATGTGAGGTTTTCGCCTTATGTGGTTTTATTTCAACCCTTAAGTCGTCGCAAGGGTGTAAGAGATACACCGGATATATGAGGTTTCTCAGACATTAATGATGATTATACCAATGTCCAGACTCTATGTAGTCATAAAGTGCTCATACTCACCTAAATTTAGCTCCATGACATCACCGCTTATTGGATGTATTTTGCTCAGAGCATCAGGATTTATTTCTCTGAGTTTTTCGAATAGCTGTAACAAGATAGCTATTGTGAAGACATGGATTTTAGATAGTGGAAGAACGTGCTGCAATATGTTAGTGGATATTTTTTTTATAAACAGTGCAGTTTAGTAAGTATAGGCACTGAGTGGACACCCAATATGGACTCGACAACGTATTACTATTAACCCCCATATAGACAAACTACTGATCTGGACAATAGTTCCGATTTGGACAATAAATTCTGGACTATAACTAAAAATATCACACACAAGCTCCGAATGCAGCTTCATTGATTACTTATATGTTATTTGATATTGATTTTATTTTTAAAATGTACACTGATATGGCTATCACAAATGAACACATTATTATTATTATACTATAATTTTGATCAAAATATAACTCTTTTGATATTTTTGACCACAATTTCAGCTCCATCGGAGCTGGAAGGCGGATCGGTATCAGATTATTGGGTAGAAGTTGATTTCCTAATTAATGACGTCTGGGGTCATCATTCAGGTTATATTAAACATAGGAATTGACCTCCTTTTCACACGACTGCCTTAGAAGGAGGGTTGTGTCCTTTGCGCGTTAGTGTATGTTGACAAAAAGCTATTTTTCATTCTATTTCAATATATGAGGTGTTTTTGGCTTTTTCTTAGCACTGAGAGTAACACTGAGGATATTAAAATCTTATGAAACCAAATTAAGCGAAATTTTGAACTTCGAAATTTCTGTTTCATAGCCTACACCTCAAATGGTTGGACGGATATTGACATAACTATGAGTTGTGTCTAGATATGTCTTAAAATGCGAGTAACACTAAAATATTATAAAATCAGATCAGCGGATTTTAACTGAAATTTTGAATTTCGAAATCTGTATTTCATAGCCTACACCTCAAATGGTTCGATGGATTTTGATATAATTATGAGTTGTCTCTAAATTTGTCTTAAACTGCTAGTGGCGATGAGTGCATTACAATTTTATAAAATCAACATAACGGATTCTTTAAAGTTAGTTTCAACTTTGAAGTTTCACAGTGTTTTTTCTATTCTTTTCAATGACTTCGGTCGGGTCTTAAGTATATTTTCGAAGTTTACTTATTTCATATTCTGAAGCTTTGGTAGGAACCTTTTTTTAGAGTAAAATACGTAATTGCCAAGTGTCAGGGGTTTTCGGATACCTAACCGTAGACTACGTTCTCAAGGATCTTTCGAACTTCATTTACTAATTTAACACCCGACGAGCAGAAGCTAAGTTACGCCAAAAATATACCAAGTGACATATAAATCCGAACACCCAGTTTAAATGGTTTTATTTTAATAAAACTTTGTATAAGTACTTAATGAATCATAATAATAAGTAAATGATAAAAATTTCAAAATGATTGCACTGCTTTAAAGCCCTTTGACCTTTAATAATGTGTGGATGCACCCTGATGTGCTACGCATTCTCCAACGCGCCTAGGCATGCTTCTGATCAGGTGGTCAATGTCCTCCGGTGGTATCTCATTCCAGGCAACCACCAACTCCTCTCGAAGCGCTTCTAGAGTCTGAGGAGGACGTTGCAAATTGAGCAATCTCCTACCCATCATATCCCACACGCGCTCAATTGGGGATCAGTCGGGAGATCTTGGTGGCCATGATAACAATGTGACATCATTATGTTGAAAGAAGTCTATTGTGACTCTTGCAACATGTGGTCGGGCATTATCTTGTTGGAAAGTTGGATCTGCCAGGGTGTCAAGATAGGGTAAAAGATGGGGTTCTAGAACTTCGTGGATATAACGCTGCGCGTTCATGTTACCTCTGATGAAAATTAAAGGTGACCTGGAACCATAAGCTATAGCATCCCAAACCATAACTCCAACAGTGTGATGAACATGTCTTTCAACAAAAAACTGTGGATTCCTCCTTTCACCACGTCGCCTTCTAACCCTGGCACGACCATCGTGCATGCCTAAACAAAATCGAGACTCGTCACTAAAGACAATACTGTTCCATTCCTGATCCCAGAGTGACCGTTGTCTGCACCACTCAAGGCGATTACGTCGGTGTTCTCGAGTTAAAGGGAGGACCCAGTGTGGCCGGTATGAAAACAAGCCAAAACTTCTCATTCGTCAGTAAACACTTCGCATGCCAATAGGTCTTCCGAGTTCTGCAAACCATTCATTTGCAATGGACCTGGTAGTGGAGAAACGGTCCCTTAAGGCCAATAATCTTAGGCGGCGATCTTCACGGTCTGTTGTTCTACGGCGGCGTCCAGTGCCCCTTGCTCTTTGCGTACGGCATTCTCGAAGTCATTCCTGACAACACCTAACCACAGTGTCTACACTTCTTTGCACTCTAACTGCAATTGCCCGAAAAGAAAGTCCAGCTTCCCGAAGTCCCACTATACGGCCCCTATCAAACTCACTAAGTTGACGAAATCGTACAGGTCTCCGTACTCTAGGCATCGTAACCGATCGTCCAACTGACAAGCGTGAAAATTTTTTCGCTTGTTATTTACAGTAAGATAAATACATTCACCAACTTTTATTAAAATAAAACCATTTAAACTGGGTGTTCGGATTTATATGTCACTTAGTATAGTATGGGATAATGTGAAACTCATACATAGAAAACAACCTACATTTTTTGTTTCATTACAGGTGACGACGGTAGACCATAGGAAGGTTAAAATTCATTACTATGTAATTCACCAGCAGGTATACGTAAATAAGTAGATATCGATGCTGTCCTATTGTATGTTAATCTGACGTTTGACGTTGGATATATCATTAATTCGGTAGGAACTATTGACTTATGTGTCTGAGCATTGACCTATAGACGCTAAAATAAGGTCGAAGGACTTAAAAGGAACCAGTTAAACCAGAATAAGAAATAACTTCTATAATTATTATTATACATAATAGAGGATTTCGGAAAAAGCTATAAACTCCAGACAGATGAGAAATTAAAAATAGAAAAAAAATAAAGATCATGTCATAAGCTGTCAAATTATTGAACCTGTTAATTTTGTATGCATTAACAACGTCGTATGGTAGCCTGTTCCAGGTATCAAATACTCGGGTAGTCAGGAGATGTGGGCATTAGCCATCTCCTGAACCAGTGCATTGAATGAAGTTATCATAGGCACGGGGGATACTGTCTATATCTCTGTCAGCATACAAGGATCAGGTGGAAGATATGACACAATGCTGTGTGTTCGATGTGTACACGAGAAACATCAAAGGACCCAAGGCGGAACCCTGGGAACGCGTCTAGTCGCCGCCCAACTGGTTCGCAGTGGGTCAATAGACATCACTATTTTTTCTCTCTCTCTACATCCACAGAGGTTTGAAAATGTCTATGAAAGTTATACTAGGAACTTAGAACCATACACCACTCTTAAAAGCACGAAAAGCTAGTTGTCGGTTTACTGGGGAAAATGATATTCCTTTCAATAATTTCTAGAGCCCGACACCGAATTTTTACACAAAAACTCATGAAAATAGAACTTAAATGTTTCATTCCTTATGACGTTGTTTGAAATTCTTTTAGCGCCATTTACGATTTCGAAAACATCGGCTCCTCGACCGAGAGACAGACAGAGAGACACGCCAATAAAAAGTAACATTGTTTTTCATCATATAGGTATCTGAAGTCACTTGAAATAGCATAAAAACCTTTGGTCGGCGCGTCCTTTGTAATTTCGTAATGACGTATCATAGGCGTGCGGTTATTTATTTAGAACGATAATAATAATGTTTTTATATCACAATAAATGGATTTTACTATCTTCTTATTTTTTTGACTTGGGATAAAAAATACTTATATTGGGAGTTTAATTTATGTTGACTGATAGTTAAGAAATGGAAAAATTACAGAATTCCAACGTTTGACATAGGCAAATAGTTACATAGCAGGTAGGTATATAAAAAGGTATATAAAGACTTACATTGTAGGTATTTATATATCATCCTCGCCTTCGGAGCTGTCGCTAGAGTCATCTTGTAGAGGAATTACAACGGAGGCAAAACACAATATTCATTTTCTTTTTCAATAATATGCCTAGAACACTGCTTCCATAGGTCTGTGGCAGCAATATGAGATACTGCATCTCTTATTGTGGCCAATAGCGATTCACTTAATTGAGGGGTCTGATTATGTTTTCTTACTTTTTTTTTAAAGCAGCCCAGACCAACTCAATCGGGTTAAAAATGCAGTAATAGGGAGGTAGACGTAATACTTCATGGCCATTTTGCTGAAGCAGATTGTCAACAACATACTCTTTTTCAAATTTTTGTTTTTTAATAAGATCCAATAATATGGCTTTGGTTGATTTTTGTGGTATTTCCATTCCCTTATCCTTCATAAAATCAATAATGTCTTGTTTTTTTGTGCCTGTATTCGGAATTTTGTTTTTCTGTCGGGAATGGTATGGCGCATTGTCCATAATAATCACTGAATTTGGGGAAATGTTTGGTATTAACTGCTGCTCTATCCACTTTTCAAATAAGTCGGAGGTCATGTCCTCATGATAGTCGGCACATGATTCTTTGATATTTTTGGCAGATAACAGCAAGGCATTAGGTATAAATCCATTTTCACTGCCAGCATGGAGAATAATGATTCGTTTTCCACGGTTGCATGGTGCATTTAAAATGCACTTGTTGCTGTCGTCAACCCAGCCGTACTGCACAACATCATGGGTATCATACCACGTTTCATCCAGGTAAATCAGATTTCTTTTCAGCTCTCTATAGATTTTAACTTTGTGCAAAAATTCTTGGCGCAATTCAACGATTCGAGACGACTCCATAATCACCATTCTTTTATCTAATTTTTTGTATTGAAAACCACACAGTTTTACAATACAGTGCAGTGAGTCTAAGCATTTGTAATTATAAAAATCTTCAGGATAATCTTTTAATTTATCCCGTATCATTTCCAACGTGGGCACCAAATTTTCTTTATAAAATCCGTATATGATACGACGAATATCTTCCTGAAAACCCACGTCTATTCTTTTTAATTTTTGCCCTTTTGCGCTTTCTGTGGAAGGAATGGTTGACTACATCTCCCCTTTTTATAACCCGATAAATGGTAGACCGACTGATTTTTGTCAGGATACAAATTCTGTTTAAAATTTGATTTTGCGAGGAATCTGGATTTTCGTTTATCAGACAATCATACATATTTAGGATTACTCTTTGGGTCTGTTCCTCTAAATCTTTATGAAAGAATTCTGCCTGCACAGGTTCATCAACCATCTCCTCGTGGCTTGGAGCATTTTCCCACGGCACAGGCTAACAGAATTTTCAGTAGCCACCTGCACTTGTTCAGAGCTCTGAAATACACGCTTTCTCATTGGCTATGTCCACGCATAGGCGTGGTTTACTCCACGTGGACCGGTGAAACTGCCTTTGATCTTATACTTATATTTGCTGCGAAATTTGGCGATTTTTTCAGCAACAGAGCGTGTTAAATATAGATATATAAAACGCACCCGGTATTTCACAGTGTTTCAAGTGACTTCAGATAAAGTATACATGTCATGTACCATCCAAATTCATAATATATCATTTTATACATTTTTGATGATTACAATACATCATCGCCAATTATACGAGTATAGCTATACCTTATAATGCTGTTAAACAAATTAATTCAATTCCCAACCAGTTCCTTAATCTTTCTCTTTTAAGTTTCAAAATACAATATAAGAAATATTTACTAAATAGAAATCTGAAAAAACTTTTTTGGAATAGAGATTGGAGTTTATAATATAGGTATATCAGTAGAAAAAATATGTCAAGCAAATTTTATAGTAACCAGTAACCAAATTTTATAGTGACCAGTATTGATTAATATCTTTTTGAAATTTTAATATACAGGGTGCGACAGAGAGGACGGACGGTTTTAAAAAAATCGTAAAATAGTTCATTTTTACTCGAAAACAAATTTATTGACGGAATCAGGTTCACAAGGAAACAGCATTTGAGACAGTCAAGTGTGGAAAATCACATCAGGCATGTGGTCGCCGAAATTGTTGATGCAGTGCTGGAGGCGTTCTTGGAAGTCCGCGTAGACTCTCTCCATCATCGCTCTCTCAACTTTTCATTAGCCCAATAACGACAATTCTGCTGGTTAACCATGCTGTTTAGGTGAAAGTGGGCTTCGTCACTCATAAACAAAATGAGGATCTCATTTTGATCGATCAGTGATTCCATCTCACGTTCGAAGTTCATTCGTTGTGCATAATCTCCGGGCTGTAACTGTTGCACAATGGCCAATTTGTAGGAGTGAATGCGGAGATCCATATGCAAAATTCGCCTTACCGAACGACCAAGACTCCATAACGACAACTGGTAAAATAATGCTAGGATCTCACGAGTCAAACGGCACCATCCTCACCTCTCTCGTAGACGGGGGCGGGGAGTACTACCCATCCCAAAAACGTCCGTCCTCTCTGCCGCACCCTGTACTTTCAGTCCATTTAGTGTTAACACGTGATTAGTATTATGATTATTCTGTATTGTTTTATAAGACTTATTGCTATTACTATTTTTTTTCTGATTTTGGTTCAGTAGGGTAGCTAGACTAGCGCCAATATTAGTCAATGTATTCTGCATTTTTTTTCTAAATTACCTTTGTAAAAAGATTATTTGATTCATTCAATAAAGTCATTTATTATTATCATTATTATACATTACTTCTGCATCAATGATTCAATTTCTTGTTTCCTATAAAGGCACTAGATCGGCAAAAGCTGACTCGAGCTATTTCGGCAATTAATAATAATAAAAAATCATATATCTCGAAAGAAGAAACAAAAAATTTAGGAAACTATAAATCTTGTTAAGAGATGGTACTCACAGGCAGCTTGACTATAGCTTCCAATCGTTCCTGTATGTCTTTCCCTTTCTTGGGCCTGATAAGCATGTAAATTTTCTCGATTCCCGGACATGACCTGAGCAGCTTCTCGATTAACACCTTGCCGACAAAACCGCTACCTCCAGTGATGAAAATGTGCTTTCCCGCAAAATATTCACACACCCGCATTTTCACTGCTTTCACACCTCACTACACTGGCAGCAATTGTGATGCGCTATTTCGCTTTAGCGGAAATGGAAAATTCAATGTCGCCGCTTTCAATGTTGTCGAAATATTTCTTGATATCCTGGTATACGAGGGACAAATGATCGAGTTGAGACACACGTTTGTGTTACGAGTCTGCTAAGCGAAGTAATCAGATTTCCATTTTTCACCTGAGTTGGCGGCACAGCCGCTGGCTTAATCGTTCTAGAAGAGGCTTTCCCGATCCAAACTGAAGAACTACAGAACCAGTCAGGAAATTACATCAACAGACTTTGCTTTGAAAATGAATGAAAACAAATAACACTGGACAACAAATTTTAGTTTTTTAATTGTATCTTGTGGGAAAAGTGCACTTCTTTGTTAATTTTGGGGCGCTGAATCAAAAAATGATAATGAAATAAAAAAAATAGTTGCAGTTTAGGAAAAAAACTTTTGATTTTTAAGGATATATTAAAAAAAGTAACAGGATTCATATACTTATAAGAATCACTATATGCGCTGTCTTTTTGCTGTTCTTTTATGGATCGTTTCTGGAGCATCTCTACCAAGAGTCCAACAGTAGTCTGCAAGCATGGAAGGATTCCACTTTCCCTGGTACCTTTTTTCCATTGTTGAAATATCCTGATGAAAACGTTCGCCGTGCTCATCACTTACGGCTCCGCAATTGTCAGGAAAAAAGTCCAGGTGTGAGTGTAGGAAATGTACCTTAAGAGACATATTACAGCCCATATTTTGATACGATGCCAGCATATTTTTGACAAGGGTTTTATAGTTGTCAGTTTTTCTATTTCCCAAGAAATTAGTGACCACCAGACGGAAATCATTCCAAGCAGTTTTTTCAATACCTGTTAAAGTGTTTTCAAACTGTGTATCTTTCAAAATATTTCGAATCTGTGGCCCAACAAAAATACCTTCTTTAACCTTTGCCTCACTTAGTCTTGGAAATTTCTGACGCAGGTATTGAAAAGCTGACCCATCTCTATATAATGCCTTGACAAAGTTTTTCATTAGGCCCAACTTGATATGCAGTGGTGGTAATAAATTTTTTTTCGAATCTACTAATGGCATATGCTGTACATTTTTTTGACCTGGCTCTAGGAATTGACGAACAGGCCAGTTTTGTCTGGTGTAATGAAGTGCCTTTGCCCGACTGTCCCATTCACACAAAAACAGCAAAACTTTGTGTAGCCTAGCTGCAGCCCAAGTAAAAGTGCAACAACTTTCAAATCGCCACAAATATGCCATTGGTGCTCATCGTATTTTATGCATGTCAATAGGTACTTCATATTGTCATATGATTCTTTCATGTGAACTGCATACCCTACAGGAAGAGATGGTAAAATATTTCCAATATGCAATTACACTGCCTTTAAACTCAATGTTGAACTGTCTATAAACAATCTCCATTCTGCTGGGATATAGTTTATATTTAAAGCCGTCAGTAAGTCGCTAATGTTACTGCAGAAAACCAAGTTATTCTCCATATTGAAAAATGGTTCTAAGTCTTTGTGGCGTTTACGAAAAACACATACCGAAACATCGTCTTCTAACAAGTTCCACTGTTGCAGTCTTGATCCAAGTAACTCTGCCTTACATTTTGGAAGTTCTAAATCTCTTACAAGATCATTTAATTCTGACTGTGTTATTTTGTGCGGTTGGTGGCATGACGTGCTCGGTATAAAATCAGGATCTCTTGACATTGATGGCATATTTTCTTCCTGACGAATCACTCGATCGCCATGATCTGGTTCGTTTTCTGATTCGCAAGTGTAGGATTCTGGTGGTTTTGGAATAGGATTTTCGTCACTGTGAGGCACAGGTCTCATCGCAGATGGTATGTTTGGGTAGTTAATAACAGATGTGGGGTGCCCACTGTTTGTCTTGATCACCTAGTTTACAACCGAAATAAAGCTGATAAGGCTTTTATTATTAGTGGAGTAATAGACCGTCTCTGAGACGCAAAAGTCACATCACCACACACGTAAGAAAACTGATCTGGATTGTTTACACACTTTCGAGACATCTTGCATGAACGCTGTCAGCCAACTGAGGAAAAAATGGCTAATATAAAACAATATGTCACAGCAGAAACACATATAATTACCGTATTTCTAAAACTTGAAAACTTGAAAAAATAAGTTTCATTCCGGTTTTAGCACATTAAAAATAGTAATATTTTGTTGATTTTATTTAGGATAATTTTTTGGCTGTTGATCAGTGTAATTACAAGAATAGCTCAAGATATTGTAGTATCTTGGTATCTACCCGGAAAACTGGTCAGATTCGTTTTGTTCAAACAGGATCCTTGTTAACTTATCTGTGATGCAGACTCAAAATTGTCTAGACAATTTTTCCAAGCAAATACCATGAGTGAGCTTCCGTTCTGCAAAAAGTATTTCAGTTTTTTGGGTCATCCATAACAAACAAAAAAATGGCGTCAATTAGGTTAACCCTGTACTTCACACGCAACGCCAGCATCAGTTCATAAATAATTGAGTTCGTCGCAATTTAAATCCTCTGAGAAGAAAGTATGTATACTAAGTGACATATAAATCGGAACACCCAGTTTAAATGGTTTTATTTTAATAAAATTTTGTATAAGTACTTAATGAAGCATAATAAGTAAATGATAAAAATTTCAAAATGATTGCACTGCTTTAAAGCCCTTTGACCTTTAATAATGTGTGGATGCACCTTGATGTGCTACGCATTCTCCAACGCGGCTAGGCATGCTTCTGATCAGGTGGTCAATGTCTTCCTGTGGTATCTCATTCCAGGCAAGCACCAACTCCTCTCGAAGTGCTTCTAGAGTCTGAGGAGGACGTTGCAAATTGAGCAATCTCCTACCCATCATATCCCACACGTGCTCAATTGGGGATAAGTTGGGAGATCTTGGTGGCCATGGTAACAATGTGACATCATTATGCTGAAAGAAGTCTATTGTGACTCTTGCAACATGTGGTCGGGCATTATCGTGTTGGAAAGTTGGATCTGCCAGGGTGTCAAGATAGGGTAAAAGATGGGGTTCTAGAACTTCGTGGATATAACGCTGCGCGTTCATGTTACCTCTGATGAAGATTAAAGGTGACCTGGAAACATAAGCTATAGCACCCCAAACCATAACTCCAACAGTGTGATGAACATGTCTTTCAACAAAAAACTGTGGATTCCTCCTTTCACCACGTCGCCTTCTAACCCTGGCACGACCATCGTGCATGCCTAAACAAAATCGAGACTCGTCACTAAAGACAATACTGTTCCATTCCTGATCTCAGAGTGACCGTTGCCTGCACCACTCAAGGCGATTACGTCGGTGTTCTCGAGTTAAAGGGAGGACCCGGTGTGGCCGGTATGAAAACAAGCCAAAACTTCTCATTCGTCGGTAAACACTTCGCATGCCAATAGGTCTTCCGTGGTCTGCAAACCATTCATTTGCAATGGACCTGGTAGTGGAGAAACGGTCCCTTAAGGCCAATAATCTTAGGCGGCGATCTTCACGGTCTGTTGTTCTACGGCGGCGTCCAGTGCCCCTTGCTCTTTGCGTACGGCCTTCTCGAAGCCATGCCTGACAACATCTAACCACAGTGGCTACACTTCTTTGCACTCTAACTGCAATTGCCCGAAAAGAAAGTCCAGCTTCCCGAAGTCCCACTATACGGCCCCTATCAAACTCACTAAGTTGACGAAATCGTACAGGTCTCCGTACTCTAGGTATCGTAACCGATCGTAAAGGATGTCAAGAACCAAAATCCGCCAACGTTGATTCTTTACTGCGGCTGAAATATTCATTTTTAGATCGTTAATGAATTAAAAAAAAGCAGGATAAAAACCGGAATGTCCAACTGATAAGGCTGAAAATTTTTTCACTTGTTATTTACAGTAAGATAAATACATTCACCAACTTTTATTAAAATAAAACCATTTAAACTGGGTGTTCGGATTTATATGTCACTTAGTATACATGTACAACAATATACAATTGTTTTTTTACTTGTGTAACTATTTGCTGTTGCGATAGTCTGACATTTACGTTGCTCGTTTCTACCTCCGCCTTTATGACGTTCTGCATTTTCACCGTTCTCGCTATCTTTCAGAAAAGCAGGGGTATTTCTAGATTTAAACTGTTTCGCGTAAGCGCTATATTTTGACGTTATATCTTCTTTTTGAAATCTAAGTCACTTCAGGCTGATAAAATTTGAATCTGCTTCATCAGCCTGAAATTAGGATTGAAAAACAAAACATAACCTCACAAAAGGATAGCGATGATGTTGACACGGAACAATATAAATCTAGCAATACCGCAGCCTTTCTAACGGAGAGAGAAAATACTATCAAAATCACGATATGATTGCGTCTATACAAAAAAAATAACTTTCAGACGCCCCAGGTAGATATTATTCCTTATAGTGTATTTGGAATACCTTTACATAAGATCTACATCTGATTATATAGGGTGGCGCATCGAAAACGAAACAGACGAAGAAATAACTTTTTGCCACAAAAAAACGCTCCCATAGCTATTTTCAACAACAAAATGATAAACAAACCATGGGCGTAGTAAAGAAAAGCATTTACTTATTAAGTAAATCCTTTTAGTTAAATTTCTTTTGAAGGTAGTATAAACTAATCTGATGTACCTATCAAAGTCTACTTTAAGCTTTAAATCAATAAATCTTCAAAACTACTGAACTGAAGCTCATGTATTTTACATCATTATAAAGGGAATTGAAAGACTTTTAAAATAAGGTATCACTCGACCCCCATTTCCATTTAAGATTTTAGGGTTGGTGTCACCCCCGCCCAGGGGGCTGCACGTGTTAAAGTGATTTTTTGCCAAACTTGTGTCCCCCTCGAAAACAAAATCGACAGGTCTGAGCGTTTTTCCAAAAAAAACTAAGCTGCCAGTAAATGCGTCTGTTCCGTTTTCGATGCGCCACCCTGTACGTATTTTAGCAAGGTATGAAGTATTCCTGTTATCGCATTACATATTCCTTAGATTCCAAAATCCAATGATCGGTATTTTTCCGAATTATGAGTCGAATTGTAATATCTACAAATCGAAAGTGTTAGATAGTTTCCAGATGGATTTGTAAAAGCAGCGGCCAATGGCATATTTCCGG